CCTCAGGATTTCCTGTGGGCTCATCTCAGGCCCCTCCCCAACCATCTGCCACCAGGCTTTCCCATCCCACGTTCCCTCCCCACACCACTGAATTGGGAAAGTCACCCATAAGTGAAGCCAACAGCCTTTTCTTGGGCTTTGAGGCATCTGTGTTGTGGGCTATCCTTTCCTTCGTAAAACATGGCCCCATCTATGGATTCTGGGTGATTTCTGGTGGGCCCCCTTCTACCTCTCCATCGTGCCTTCCCCTTATGACAGCCCCTCCCTGGCAGCACATGGCCACGCTCATGGTCATCCATCACCTGCTCCAGGGCCTCTCCAGCCCCGACATCTCTCCTGAGCTCCAAGATCCTTTTCCAGTCTGCTCAGAAGCTCTAACTTTGCCCTGAAAGCATGTTACCTCCATTTGTCTAAAATCCACTCCTAGGATCTCTGTAATAATGGTGACACCTACTTCACAGTGTTAGTGTGGGAATGAAATTAAGTGAATATGTATCATGTGCTTAGAACAGCACCGGAGGAAGGCTTTGCCATCATTACCTTCACAACAGTAGCTTCTCCTAAATACCCCCAATCCCCAGAGATCCGACACTGTAGGAAGGCTTCCTATCATAGGGTTATCATAGGGTTACGTACAAATTCTCCCCACTCCCTCTTTCTGTGTGTGTGTGTGTGTGTATGTGTGTGTGTGTTTCTGTCACCTCAGAGGTCTCTCTCAGACGCTAACAGGTCTGCGAGTCTGCAACAGCTCGCTGAACTGCTGATAGTTTCCTTTTAGCATCTACCCCCGCCCCTCAGGGCAGTAGCCAGAGAGAGAGAGGCAGAGAGTAGGGAGTCCTCTGCTGGACAAGAGGCTCATGGCACGCTTGGCACTGAAAATCTCAAACTCATACATTATGTATTTGTGGAATATTTACTATTTCACACATTTGTGCCTTGGAGGCAAACTACTCATGGAAGAAGCAAACTAGCTTTTACCGAGCATTTACGTGTCAGACGGGTAACTTGCACATACAGGAATTCGCTGAACTTTTTTTCACTCGTCTCATCGTACATAGGTGTCGATAGATAGTATAATGAATCCCCTGTACCCAGTGTCCAGCTTCCACAGATGCCAACTCCCGACTCGTAGCCAGTCTTACTGCACCTATTCCCCTACCCTGCCTTCTCCCCTCCAGAGGGTTTTGAGGCAAATACAAGACATCTTATCATTTCATCTATTTCATCTATATTCAGAATGCACGTTAAAATACGTGGAGTCGTCTTTAAAACATGATACACAATCACAGCACACCTAAAAACTAATATGCCTAATATCCCATTGCAAAAGGTGTTCCAATTGTCTAATTTTTTATGGTTTGAATCAGAATCCAAATATGGATTAAAAGAGACTTTTAAAAAATCATTTATTTTGAAAGAGAGAGAGAGAGCTGGCATGCATAAGCAGGGGAGGGGCAGAAAGAGAGAGAGAGAGAGAGAATCCCAAGCAGGCTCTGCACTGACTTTGATGCAAGACTCAAACCCACAAACCATGAGATCATGAGCTGAGCCAAAATCAGGATCAGATGCTTATCTGACTGAGCAACCCGGGTGCCTGGAGACTTTAAAAATACATCTTTTGGGGGCACCCAGCTGGCTCAGTCAATAGAGCATACAACACTTCATCTCAGAGTCGTGAGTTCAAGCCCCGCATTGGGTGTAGAAATTATTTAATTTTAAAAAATACATCTTTTCATCTAATTCCACCCTTTCCTATTCTACCTTTATTTGTTGAAGAAACCAGGGTGTTGGTCCCATAGGGTTTCCTACAGGGGGCATTTTGGTGACTACGTGCCCACAGAGACCTTTTCATCTTCTACGTAATGAGACTAAGCTTTATTCTCTTCCCCCCATTTTTATAGGTGAGAAAAGGGAGGCTCAGAGAAGTTAAATGCCACGCGCAAACGTTCGCAGCCAAGGAAGGAGCAGAGCCCGGCCTCCTGAGCCAAGGAGAGTGGGACCACATCTTCAGAGCACCCCATTCACTACCCGGCGCATATCATGTGCTCCCAAGACCGGGGCTGACCGAGACGGCCTTCGTACATTCCCACTGGAGCCACTGGGCTCTGTCTCCGGACAGATGGAAGGCCACCTTGGGGCCGCCTGGGGAGTCCTGGGGCCCGACCCATGACACAGAGCCAGGCTGCCCTTTCCACAGGGCCCTATCTCCTTTCTGTCTTCTCGTCATTCATTCATTCATTCAATAAATGTTTACTGGACACTGTGTCCCAGACCAGACACCCTTAAGGCACGTGAATGAGTATGGCTCTTCGTCGCTGCATGTGGGTGGATGGGTGTGATCTCAGGAGGTACGTCTGTTTCTACCTCTGTATGGTGTGTGTGTGTGTGTGTGTGTGTGTATGTGTGCGTGTCTCCAGGTCTCCAGATCTAAGTGTCCCTGTAGTTGTCAATGACGACAGCTGGGTGTGTATCTGTGTTTATGCGTGTGTGTTCCTACAAATGACACAGTCACTACGCACGTAAACATGCACAATTCTGCACGCACACGTGTGTCTGGGTGGACCTGTTGTTTCTGTACCCCTGTGTGTCTATACATGTGTGTTTATGTGTACATCTCAGTGGATATATGAATCACTACATTTGTGTACGTGTGTGGGTGCGTGTGTGTGTGTACCTCCCCTCAGGTGCTGTAATAGGAACTGTCACCTGTCACCCTTGACCCCTCACCTCCCCAGCTTCCTGTCACCTCCATGCCCACCAGTCCTGAGTGACAGCCAAGGCTTTTCCTGCTCTTAGAGGGGCGGTCTTGGTTGAGGGGAAGTATCTGGGGGGGTCGGAAGGTCCTAGGTCTTCTGCCCCCAGCATCTCCAGGATCCAGGGCCTGGGGAGGGAAGACCGGAACCCGATTCCAGGCACACTGACAATTTTTGCTCTAAAAAACAAAACAATGGCCTGCTTCAGAGGGGAACAAAGAAAATTCGAGCTGAACCACAGACCGACAAGGATCCTGCAGGACTTCAATTCAGAGGGGTAGGGTCAGGTAGGGGTGTTGACCTCATACACCCACATTATCTCCTCCACAAAGCAGGGTCAGTTTTCCAACCCCAGGCTGGCCTTCCCCCAGGGAGAGGCTGTGCGGACACAGTGGCCCCAGGGTCACTGGGCCTGGAGTTAATCATCTACCCAGGGTATCCCTGGGCCCATTGGCTGCCTGGGGAAACGGCCCTCTGGGCTAACGCCCAAAGCAGTGGGAAGCACTTCCCAGCCCCACCGGCCCAGGGACAATGGGGCTGATGGTGTTGGCTACTGAAATGAGTGGCCCCCAGTCTGAGGAGGGAGACATCAGCCCTGCCCTCAGCGGAGCCCCAGGCTGAAGGGAGAAGCCATCCTTGCCCTCACATAGGTCCTGAGCTGGCAGAAGGCAGGACTCAGCGGCAGCAGAGGAGGGGTGGGGGGAGGGCCCGGAAGGGGCGTACATTTGGGAGGGGAGGAATGGAGAGAGGCCAGGGCTGGGGCCAAGAGACCCAGAGCAGCAGAGGTAGGAGAGGCAGAGGAGAAGGAATCCTGAGTGCGGAGGGGCGGGGCCGGGGAGGGTGGGAGCTCAGATGAGGGGCTTGGAAAATGATTAGGACTCCCCTGAGCGAGGACCGCCTCTTCTGGCGGATTCCGGAAAGTGTAGGGAAGTAGGGGGTGGGTGGTAGTAAAGTGGGAGGAGAAAGAAGGCCCTAGAGGTGACCCCACAGTAGGGGGTACAGACACTGCATGGTTCACTGTCTAATAGAACCCAGGATATGCAAGTAGGAAAATGGAAAAGTCAGTGGAAGAGGTCACAAGTTCAGCTCCAGCCCCTCTGCCAGGAGTCTCCTGCCCGGAACAGTGCATGCATGTGCTGTGTGTGCACATGTGTTGGTACGTGCATGAGCGTGTTGGTAGCAGATGCCAGGAGGGGTGTGCTCACCCAGCATCCTCTGCGATACTCAGGAGAGCAGCAGCTCAGGTCATGGCTGGCCATTCAGGCAGTGCCGCGAGAGTCCTGACTCCTGGCCCAGGGAGTGCAGAGCTGGGCGGAGGGAACGAAAGAGCAGTGGAGAGAACTTAGGATGCCTAGCATCTGGCCATGACACTAACAGCTGGATGACCTTGGTCAAGTCACTTCTCCTCTATAGTTGGTTTCCTCCTCTACAACCGCAGAGAGTCGGACTCCATCCCAGTGACCCGAGTACAGGATGTGTATAACCCACAGTTGACAAGGAGCCTTTGGGCAGAGGGTAGATGCAGTATCCAGTAACAATGAATGATATTCTGTGAAAGCTTTCGTTGCCCTTTTCAAATCTTAAGAGCACGGATCTGAAGCAGGCCTGCTTTGTTTGAAAGAACAGTTCTGCTGCTCTGAGCTGAATGACCTTGGCCCTCACATATTTCTATGCCTTGATTTCCTCATCTATAAAATGGGCATTACAATAATAGCCATCCTGGAGTCATTGTGAGGACTATATATGAAGTGCTTTGCCCAGTGCCTGCCATTCTGCATGTGTCGGCTGTTTTTCTACACAGGAGAAAGTGTCTTGGGGGTCCAGGGGACCTCTGATGTTGGGCACCTGCTAGCCTTCTTCTGTGTGACCAACAGAGCAGGCCACACTATCCAGCTGGAATTTAATAACATTTTGTTCTGGTTTTATTCTTAAGGCTTTCTTCTGTTTACAGCAAGTGATACTGGCCTTCTAGTTACAGTTTCAATAGAAATACATTTTAAACTTGAAAACTTTTAATACTAGGGTTGCCTGGGTATCTCCGTTAAGCGTCGGACTTTTGATTTGGGCTCAGGTCATGATCTCATGGGTTCGGGAGTTCCAGCCCCAAGTAGAGCTCCATGCTGGTAATGTGGGGACTGCTTAGGATTCTCTCTCCACTGCTCCCCTTCAAAATAAATAAACTTTTAGTTAGATAGATAGATAGATAGATAGATAGATAAAAACTTTATTACTAACAAGGAATGATTTACCCTCTGGTTCCCTTTCCCATCAGATCTGAACATTGGTTTGGGTGGTTATAAGGGACGGAAAAGGAACACTGAAAGTGGCCTCACAGTGCTTATGGTCTGGTATAGAGCTCATGGGCTAGTTTCAAACAAGGTAAAAAAAAAAAAAAAAAATAGAGGCGACTGGGTGGCTGAGTCGTTGAGCCTGGGACTTCCGGTCAGGTCATGCTGTCAGCGTGGGGAAACCACGTCGGATCTTCTGTCTCCCCGTCTCTCTGCCCCTCCCCTGCTCCCTTCTCTCTCTTTCAAAAATAAGTAAAGATTTTAAAAACTTAAAACAATAAAATATTAAGGGGTGATTTGAGGATATGACAAAATTCTTCAAAGTGGTACCCAACGTCTGGAGCTTGGCAAACCCCGGTAATCTCACGATTCCGGATCTTCTTTGAGCTCAGCCGATAGGACCCAGACACACCCAGCCTCCAGCAGAGAGCGGGTACTCCCCCACCTTCCTTCCACTCCTCCCCGCCGCCCCCTTCAGATCTCCTTCTTCAGTCCCACGGTAACTGCACTTTGCTCTCCCCTCCTGCCCTCATCAGACTCTCCTTTAATCATCCAGAACCCCCGCAGACTGCCAAAGCCACTCCGGGTCCCCCGAGCCCTTCCTGGAACCGGCCTTGGCAGCAGATTAAAGACGCCCCACCACCGATTATCTCTGCCTCCTGACCCGAACTAGTGGGTTGCGTCCCCCACCAGGGGCGGGGGTTTCTGTCGGCCCCGCCCCCTGACCCATGGCCTGACCCTCTTCAAACGCACCCAGAGACGACTCTGCGCCCCCAGTCTGCGCCCTGCCCCGGCCGGTCAAGCCCCTCCTTGCAGCAGGTTAGGAGCCCCCCAGAGCCGGGAGCTGCGGACGGAGCGGACTCGTTTGGAGGACGTGGGGGGGCAGCCGTTCTGGTTGTCATGGCGACCGCGCGTTTGGCCTGGGCCCTGCGAGCCACCTCTGCTGGGGTAAGGCTGCGCGGCCCCCGAGGCACCGGGAGCGCCCGGAGGCTGAGTGGCAGCGCGCGAAGGCGAGCGGCCAGGGGCGCCAGCCCCGGGCGCCGGCTCAGCACCGCCTGGGCGCCCGCCCAGCCCGCACGCGAAGGCGCCGAGGACGACCGCCACCCGCCGGCCGCGGAGGAGCCGGAGTGGACGCGGCCCCCCGCGCCGCCGGTGCCCCCCGAGCCCCCCGAGCCCCCCGGGCGCGCAGCCGGCCGCTCGCTGGTGCAGCGGGACATCCAGGCCTTCCTGAACGAGTGCGGGGCCAGCCCCGGGGAGGCGCGCCACTGGCTCACGCAGTTCCAGACCTGCTACCATTCCGCGGACAAGCCCTTCGCGGTCATCGAGGTGAGCGGAGCCCGGCGCCGGCCGCGTCACGGCGAGGGGATCGGGGTTGTGAGGCAACGTGTCGCCAGGCATGGCGGGCCCGACCGCAGACTCCGCGCAGCGGAAGCGGGAAGGGGCGCGACGGGGCCGGGACCAGGGCTCCGGGACTGGATGAGGCTGCGCGCTCCTCCTGTAGCCTCACGCCCAGCTAAGGGTGAGGGGCCTGAGGACCCGAATCCGCCAAGTGCGATGCGCTGGAGAAGAACTCCCCTTGGCCGTGGGCGCAGTTAGGGCCTCCGATGGCAAGTGGGGAACCTGGACCGGAGCCGCCTGGGTTACCCCTCCCCCCAAGGAGTCCTAAAGTCCAAGGTCTCAGGGAGGCACAGAGGGAGGAACATCAGTGTGAGATAAGGGGATGGCAAGATCCAACGGGGCAAAGGGCGGAGCAGGTGCTCGCCAGAAATGGGGCCTACCTGCTTCTGGGCTGGGAAAGGGTCACCACAGGGCCCCTGCTGCTGGAGCAAGCAGGTTAGGCAGGAGTCGGGGCCAGTGTCGTCGCCCCTGAACGCTCACTCCTCCGCAGGTGGACGAGGAGGTACTCAAGTGCCGGCGGACGGTAACCAGCCTGGCCTTCGCCCTGGCATTCCTGCAGCGCATGGACATGAAGCCGCTAATTGTTCTCGGGCTGCCCGCCCCCACGGCGCCCTCCGGCTGCCTTTCCTTCTGGGAGGCCAAGGCCCAGCTCGCCCAGCACTGCAAGGTGCTGGTGGATGAGCTGCGGCACAACGCTGCCACCGCCGTGCCTTTTTTTGGCGGCGGGTCGGTGCTGGGTGCGGCGGAGCCAGCCCCCCATGCCAGGTGAGTGCCGGCCTTCCGAGGCCCCGCGTCTTTAGACCTCGCCACCCCGCCCACCCTGCCCCAGCCCTGCAGGCCTGGCGGGGGCCTCCTTGAGCGCCACGTCTGGCCCACAGCTATGGCGGCATCGTCTCGGTGGAGACGGACCTGCTACAGTGGTGCCTGGAGTCGGACAGCATCCCCATCCTGTGCCCCATCGGGGAGACCACCGCCCGCCGCTCCGTGCTCCTCGACTCGCTGGAGGTGACCGCGGCTCTGGCCAAGGCGCTGCAGCCCACCAAAATCATCTTCCTCAATACCACAGGCGGCCTGCGCGACAGCAGTCAAAAGGTGTGCCCCCTCCTTCCCGGCCCCATTCTCCCCACTCGGGGCCTGGCTGAACCCCTCTTGTGTTCCCTGCTCGCCTCCCAGACGGGTCCCCAGAGTCATTCTCCGAGCCGGCTGGGTCGGCAGTGGAGTGGTGACCAGATCCAAGCCCCCCCTGGCCGAGGACAATGAGAGGAAGTGAGGGGAAAGGAGTCCGTGAGGAAGGAAGGGTCTATGCAGCAGGGGCGCAGTGGTGGCGGGCTGCGGGCCAGAGGCTCACCCCCTGGCCCTGGACGCAGGTCCTGAGTAACGTGAACCTGCCCGCCGATCTGGACCTGGTGACCAACGCGGAGTGGGTGAGCACCAAAGAACGGCAGCAGATGCGCCTCATCGTGGACGTGCTCAGCCGCCTGCCGCACCACTCCTCTGCCGTCATCACCGCCGCCAGCACGCTACTCACCGAGCTCTTCAGCAACAAGGGTGAGGGCCGTGCCTGGGGGCGAGGCGGGGCAGGGGGGAGGCTGAGTCTCAGGAGTGAGCAGGGGAGGTGGCTTCCCGAGTGGCAGGGGGCCGCCACCCCAAAAGCTCTCTTCTCTGGCTGGACCTGGGGGAGGTGAGCGCGGAGCAGGTGGGCGGGACTGGACAGGCAGGCGGCGCCAGGTGGGACGGACTTGGCGAGGAGGCTGGGGCGGGGAATTGGAGGGGCGGGGAGACCGGAGGCTGGAGACCCGGTTTCCGGGAGGTAGGCCGGTCTAGGGAAAGTAAGTGGCACGACCCGCGATGGACAGAAGTTTAGGGACAAACTGCCAGGGAGAAGCATCTCCCAGTATGGAAATCACCTGCATATCGATGCGGACCACAGAACGCATTTCACTGGGGAGATGCTCCAAAGAGGGTCATTGTCCCGCCAGCCCCTACCCTATCCGGAATCCCCACCGGGACACTCAAATGCAAGAGCGGATGGGACCTGGCTCTTGGGCTAAAGAACACCTCCTCTTCCATCCCACCCCCCAGGGTCCGGGACCCTGTTCAAGAACGCCGAGCGGATGCTGAGGGTGCGCAGCCTGGACAGCCTGGACCAGAGCCGCCTAGTGAACCTGGTCAACGCCAGCTTCGGCAAGAAGCTCCGGGACGACTACTTGGCCTCGCTGCGCCCGCGGCTGCACTCTGTCTACGTCTCTGAGGGGTGAGCCTGCGAGCCCCAGAGGGCGGGGGGGACAGTGCTGGGCAGCATGGGGCCAAGCAGGGGTCCCAGCCTGCCTCTCCCCTGCTGCGCCAGGTACAACGCGGCCGCCATTCTGACCACGGAGCCCGTATTGGGGGGCACTCCCTATCTAGACAAGTTTGTGGTGAGCTCCAGCCGCCAGGGCCAAGGCTCCGGGCAGATGTTGTGGGAGTGCCTGCGGCGGGACCTGCAGACGCTTTTCTGGCGCTCCCGGGTCACCAACCCCATCAATCCCTGGTAGGTCCCGCCCCTCCCGCCTCTGGACCGCCCCCACCCACCCCTACCCCCGCCCCAGCTCTCCACAGCCACGCCCCAGAAGGCCGGCCTTCCCGCAAGGAAAAGGCTCCGACGTTCCCCAAGGGAGCGGACCACACACGGAGCCTGAGCTTTTCCCCAGAAGCCCAGCGCACGAAGCCCGCTCTGTCACGATGCAGGGGGCACTCCTCGACTTTCCCCCAGAATCGAGAAATCCTGACCCTCTAGGCTTTATTCCACGTCCAGTTGCTGAGCTCTGACCCCAGGCCCACTGCCTCTCCAGCGGAACCCCTTCTCCTCTCTCTCTTTCCTTTTGCAACTATCCCTTCACCGGGGTCTGTGGGCACCAAGAGGTGAACAAGACCCTGCCCCTGGTGGGGGGGGGGGTGGCACGTGGGTGGCTCAGTCGGTTAAGCATCTGACTCTTGGTTTTGGCTCAGGTCATGATCGTGGGACAGAGCCCAGGTCAGGCTCAGATAAGAGCAGGGTGGCTAGCATGGAGTGGGTCCTCAAGATAACCAGTGAGTAGCCACCATTGGCCTTGCCCTCAAAGGTCCTCCTTCCCCCCTCATCAGGTACTTCAAACACTGCGATGGCAGCTTCTCCAACAAGCAGTGGATCTTCTTCTGGTTTGGCCTGACCGATATCCGGGACTCTTACGAGCTGGTCAACCATGCCAAGGGGCTGCCGGACTCGTTCTGCAAGCCGGCTTCTGACCCGGGCAGCTGACCCTCACCGCCAACCTTGCAGGCCCTGGGATAACCAGGGCGAAACAAAAGCCATGCCTGTTGGATGTGACCCCAGGCAGCCGCAGGCTGGACCAGGCTTGTTGCCTAAGGATCTGCAGAGGAGGAACCAGCCCCTACTCTACTCTGCCCAGGGCAGGGCGCCCGAGTGGAGACAAGCATAGGAAGAAGGGTGTGCCCAAGACACACACACACCCCACTGGCTCCAAAGCTAGACCCAGATAGCCTTCAGTTTTCAGTCTAGGGATCTTGAGGGGCGGGACTGGGGGGCTTGCCTTCCAGGGCTATACTCAGGGCTAACCTTACAGGTGGGCCAGTGTCTCTGGCCTCTGTGCTGTTTTGAGGCTCCCTTGCCCAAAATATTACCTCATTTGCTTGATATTCCATCACTTATTTTCTTTTGGGTCTTGCAACTTCCCAAGAGGCCTCGATTAAAACACAAATACTTATCTAAGAGTCAGCTCACACTTGAAAAAAATGAGCAGCGACCCTCTGAGACCAAGATCTTGAGGGCCGGGGAGCCAGGGGACTCCCGAGGGGAAGAGGAGAGCTCAATGAGATAGAGTGCCTCCCCCAAGATCAATGCTGCCACCATCTCCCTCAGCTGGGTGTCAGCAGCCCCCCCAGAGGGACTCCCTGACTCTGGAGTTAGGAAGCTTCCTCCTCCATCCCACAGACCAGAGCAACAGCAGCCGCAGCCCTCTCTCCAAGCAAGGCTCCAAGCCAAGCACAGCCTTGGATGCTCTCCCCTCGGCCCCGCTGGAGGCTGTCTGCATCTGTGGGAGCAGAACACCTCAGCCACTGGGAGCCCAAAGCCAGAGGTTTCCTTCCACATTTTTGACCCCCACGATGCACCAGGCCCCATACTAGCCGCTGGGCTACTTTCAACGAGGAGGTGCACGAACAAATAGGGGAAAGACCACCATGGCCCAGCAGGGGCCGCAACAAAACCAGCCGCCCAGAGCAGCCTCTGACTTCCCTCAGGAGAGGGGTGGTGTGGGGGGCACAGCTGTGCCCGGGCATCAGACGGGCTGGAGCTGGAATCCAGCTCTGTGGCTGGGGGGCGGGGGGGGGGGGGAGCTGCTGGCCTTCTCGGAGCTTCCAGCTCATCTCTAAGATGTAAAAGTCTCATAGTGGTCACTTTAACGTTAGTTCTGCCCCTCTCGCTGGCCTCAGAGAGTTCTTCAAAAGAAAGCAGGAGGACCGAAAAAAGGAGGAAGAGACAAGCTACAACACAGGGACCGAGGGGATGGGTCAGAAGCAGACCACAGGGAGGGTCCTGAGCAGGTAGCCAAGGACTGCGGGAACTCTCAGAACAGGGCAGAGATCACAGGCGGGCTAAAGTGGGGCTTAACCAGATGTGGTCTTTCAAGAAACCCAAGATCAGTCCTAGCCAATGGCGAAGTGCCCTGTGGGGAGAACAGAGAAGCGAAGCCAAACGTCTATATAAAATGTTTATTTTTGGAGGACTGTGTGGTCTGGTGTTTGGGAGGGCACTCACCCCCACCAGGCCAACCATACCGCTGGAAACAGAAGGCAGGGGGGCGGGAAGCTGGCTGCGGCACGCCCCACCCCTGCGCACCCCAGCCCAGGGTCTGCTCTGCGTTCAAGGTGGGGCATCAGTGCGGTTTCTGACCCCAGCCTGCCCTGAGAACTCCCGTGACTTCTGTGGTGCCCGGCCCCTGGGCACCTCCAGGCCCGATCCACACACGTCAACACGCATACGCACTCTGTCTCTGAAAAGCACTGTGGAGCCCGGCTGCTCCTGGCCAGTTCAAAAAGGGATTTTTCACATTTGCTCACTTCCGGTTCGTAGTCTTCCTTCCTCCGTCTCCCAGTCTTGGCACCCCCACCCGAGCCCTGCCTTACTCCCTTCTCTGGGACAGCAGACCCCGGGAGCAGCTGGCCTCAGCTCTCCTCCTAATGAACAGGGGGGAAAAAAAACCAAACCCTGTAAGGCATCACCATCAGGGCTCCCACCCCCAAGGAGCCCAGGCCCTGGGGAAGCCACCTGCCTCTCACCGACACATACACACAGACACACACACACACAGCAAAGAACCCACCCAACAGAGCAGAAAGCATCGAGAAACAACTGGGCCAGCAGGGAGGAAGGTGGGGTGGCCCTCTGTGGCTCCCGGCACCCCTCTCCGCCTCTTGTCGTGCAACTCAGCCATCGGTGGCCAGGATGATAGCGGCCCCGAAGATGCCCACACTCTCTCCAAGGAGCTTCATCTGGTTCCAGAACTCAACTCGCCGTGTGTGGTGCCAGTAGGCAATGTTGCCGTCAATGAGCAGCATGACCGGGGGCAGCAGTACAGCCAGGATCTGGGCAGCCAGCGTCACGTAGTAGCCGGACAGGAAGGCCAGCGCCAGGACCCCGTACAGAACGAAGAACAGCTGGATCATGAGCTCCCCACCCGGGAGGTGGTTCAGATACGCCAGCCGGTCCTCCTTGCTGTGCTGCAGTGAGTAGGCCTAGAGACGCACATCCGCTAAGTCTCTCCCAACAGGCCGGGGGAGCCTGTCCGGGGAGGGCCGCCCCTGACACGGCGCCCGAGAGTCAACCTCTGCAAGCTGGGCTTCTGACTCCCATCTCGGAAGTGGGACCCCCTGAAAGTAGGGCCCGCGTCTCCCCCACGGCCTCGGGAGCTCACGGGGTTAGGGCCTGTCTCTCCTCACCCTAGGGGCTCAGAAGGGGCAGAAGCATGCCTCCACAGCCAGCCCAGGGTTCTCACCCGTGAATACATAGCTCTGCACGCAAAATGCGGTGCCCAGTAACTGAGGTGGAGCCAGGCGCCCCAGGGCCTGTCCAGGTCCCCATCCATGCTGGGTGCCCCCTATGTCCTCCATGAGGAGGTACCTTAACTGGCTACCCTAGGCAACCCCCATCAACTCTTAGTGGTAGAGTCCATCTGGGGCCTGAACCCCCTCACACCCCTCCTTTGTCCCCTTCTCCCAGCCCTCTGGGGGCTGAATCCAGGAGAGGACAAGTCCATCTCATTCTCCTGACTCTCAGGCTTGGGGATGACAGGCCAATCCAACCTCCTCTCTCTCCAGTGGCAATAACACTGGAGGAAGGGGCTCTCAGCCGCGTCTCAGGCACCGGAAAGAAGCCCGAGTCCCAGAAGCTGGGCGAGGCTACTCCCAGGAGGCAGACCACCAGGAACTACGTGCCCACCTCCCTGCATTCTGCCAAGCACGGGCTCAAACCTCACTCCCACGCAAGCCCCTGCAGCCACCAGTCCCCCAACCTACCACGCAGATGAGGTAGATGCCCAGAAACACCTGGCCGGTGGACTGGAGGGAGCGGCTGCGGGGCTTCCGGCGGTACAGCTCCCCAGCGCCGCTGGCCAGCACAAGAAAGCCGCCGATGATAGCAACCGTGCGCGAGTACATACGGACCTAGGCCAAGGTGAGGGGACCCAGTCAGAAACCACAGCCGCCACGTTTCTCCGGGCGTCCAGCGCACAGAACCACCCATCTCTCTTCACCCCATTCGGTCTGATACACTCTCTTGCCAATTCCAAGCGTGGTAGGCAGATGCAGCCGACAAAGATTAATTCTTTTAATCGGAAGTGGAAACTGAGGCCCGGAGGGGGTTAATAAAATTGTCCGAGGTCCTACAGAAAGAGGCAGAACCCAGATGCCAAGCGCTGCCCCATCTCCACCCACGGACATGTAGACTCAAATCCCAGAGTTCCTTCTGCTATATAGTGCGAGTCTGTGCCAGTAAGGAAACACTGATCTACACTCCTGAGGCTGTTCACACATGGGCCGCCCCTCCTGGATTGGCAGTCCACTGCTTGAGGGTGGTGCCTTTGTCCAGGCTTATCTACGAGCCTGCAGTGCCTGGCACACGCTCTGGCTTTGTAAGGCTTAAATGCTTCACGAAGATGAATTAAATTTCATAAAAATCAGATGGTGGGAACCGGTACTCTCCAAGGTCCCTTTTGCCCTATAGTCTGAGATGACTAAACTAATGGTTTAAAGGGTTCCGGGAACTAGGTGACCTGGGTTCTGGTCTCACCTGCAGTGCTAACTGTGATGGGACTCTGGGAAAGTCTGTCTCTCCTCTTCGGACCTCAGTTTTCACACTCTGATAGGCAGCCCTGTGTGGTTCCTAAGGTCCTTTCATGCTTCCAGTCTGTAATAGTTCGCACAAGCCTGCGGTTTCTGCCTGCCCAGGCTTCACACTGTGCGCCTAGCTGACACCATGCATTACCCAACTGCCCCCGGCATTGGCCTCTGGCTCCCTATCCCCCAACTCCCCTTAGGCCGAGGTGCTCACCTTCAGCCAGTCCCCGTAGTGGACGTAGCCCCCGATGTAGGCGGCGTAGGTGCTAATGGCCAGCTGGAGCGCGGCCCCCAGCGCGAACCAGCGCCGCTTCACGCCAAAGGACATGAAGCTGGCGCACAGCACGGCTGCCCCCAAGTCGAAGTACAAGTAGGGCACGGGGATGTCGGGCTTCCTGCGAGCCGGAGAGGAGAAGAAGCAACGGGGACAGAATAAAGCGGGAGAAGAGCCTTGCGACCCCGTGAGTTCCCACAAGCTCCAATGCCTCAAACCCGGAGCCCTTCTCACAGCCAGGACCCCCGCACTACGCTCGATGCCCAGCCGAGAGCCCCTAACAAGTCCAAGGTCCCAACTCCTCCCCAGCCCAAGGGTCCCGGCTTCTTCTTCACCTCACCGCACCCCCGTTCCTGGGGCGGGCCGTACCGCCCCCCACCACGTGCGGCGGCCGCGTGAGCCCGCTCACCGGCGCGCCTCGGCCCGTTCAGCGTACAGCATGAGCTGGCTGAAGCAGCCCCAGAAGGGGCAGCGTGTGAGCAATACCGAACCCAGCTGCATGATCAGCTGCAGCGTCCAGCGTCGCGAACCCATCTTCGACGCCATCTTGGAGAAGGGCAGTCCGCCGCGGCGTCACCCCCGACGGGGAGGCCGGCTCCAGGACGCGATACGCCACTTCCGGGTCTCGCGAAGCGGAGGAGGGTGAGAGAGTAGCATTTTCCCCTTCCGATGGGAAACAACGCTCTCGCTTTCTAGTTCCGGACCGAAGGAGGTGTTCCGGCCGCGGAGTTCAGCCTTAAAACTCCGTTCGTGGAGACTTAAGGACCCCTCTCGTGGATGCAAAATTGAAAACTAGACTAGAGGAAGGTTTCTTATCAGAACCGTGGGCAATAACTTGAGGTAATGAAGCGAACTGGTCTTTGATGCTAGACCTGGGCTCCAATCCTAACTCCAACTCTGTGACTTTGGGTATATTGCCTACACTTTGAAGACCCATCTCTAAAAATGGAGAGGACATCTATCTCAGGGTTGTTCTGATGCGTCCATGTGGCAGTGTTGGTACTCATAGTAGGGTGTGTGTAAACACACACACACCAAATCTCTCTACTTTTGTTTAATTTCAGAGTAAGGTGTTCCCTTGGCCAGGTCACTTGTAGACAAGTCTGGCTTTCCCTCCGTCCCCTGAGAGAAGAGTAAGATCTGATGTGGATATATGGGACATCTCAAATCAGTCTCTTGTCTCCAGCTCCCATGCTCCCGCTTTAGCCCAAACTACCATCTTTTGTTGGTTTAACTACAGCAGACTTCCAACTGGCCCCCTGGCTTCTCCTTTGGCCTCCTTGTTTATTCTCAGCTTCCCTATTTTATGTTTTTGTAACCATCAGATATCCTTCTTTTGAATCCCTGAGCACATTGTTAATTATATATTTGGGATTCTTTGTTAATGAGCAGATTGACAATAGATTGTGAGTTTCATAAGGGCAAGGTTTCTGCTCACAGCCTAGTGTAAGATGCATTCAAAAAAACATGCTAAATAGATACATGAACAAAAGATGTTGCCACTATATCTCATTCGTAGCAGGTACTCTGATTACCTGTTGAATAAGTAAGCGGGCAAAAGTTCCGGGCCCTCCAGGATTGCCACCACAAAGCCACCCTACCCATCTTCCTGCACCCCCTACCACTCTACAACACAAATTCATCTTCCCGTATTGAAGTTAAGACTTTACAATAGCACTCTCACTAGACTATTTAATTCAAGTCTGTTTCCAGTTCCCCGGAGCAGGGAGAGGGGCCTCATGTCCAAACAGTATTTCTGACCATATGAATTAAAAGTTCCCAACCAGCCAGTGAAAGCTGAACAAAACGCCTCTCACATTTTTTTACAAAGTCACTGGGATAAAGAGTGGGTATAACAGAAACGTGATGGGGAGACAGACATACTCATGCAAAAAAACCCCTAGGGAATGGGATTGTATATATGCATGCTGGGATTGGGGCTGGGGGAAAGGAATCTCCAGGCAAAGGGAATGAGAAAAAGCCTAGATTAAAGGCCATTTTGTCTATCTCTGCCCATGTGCCAGTGACAACCACATGAGGTTAAGTTTTCCACAGGCACATAGCATAGAATCAGGCTTTCAAATTTTTTTTTCCAGTCTCCGCACCTGTCCTTGATTCAAATGTGACAAGATGCACAGCCCTCAACAAGGAACTAAGGTGTTGAGGATGACCGGAATGGGGACACTATACATCCGTAATACAGTTCTAGGAGCCTGGCTGGGGTGTTGCCCATAGGAGCAACACCCCTACCCCATCCCACCACCCTCATGACTTTAGCAATAACGAGGCCAAAGGGGAGGGGCAGGAGACCAACATTAACAAAGCTGCCCTTAGTTCTCAGCTCACCCCAGTTCCCTCTGGTCTTTAATCTCTACCTTTTACTGTCCTAGTGTCTGGAGGGTTGTTGAGAAGCACTAAGGGCCAAATCCCTCTTTCTAGGGTTGGGAAAGATGCTGGCATTGTGCTAATTCAGGGAAGAGGTGAATGGGAGGGTCAGAGGCTCTGAGAGAGGAACACAGCCATGTGTCCCCCTGCCCCCCACTCCTCCCACTCCTCCCTGGGGTGACAACTGAGCTGTAAAGACTTCTGAAGAACAGTCCTTCCCATCTCTATCCACTCGCCCTCCTCCAGCTGCCTCCACTACTCTTGGCAGCCCCCCGAGGACTCTCCCACTCGCCCTCCAGCTCCCCAGAAGCCCCACCTGTGCTTGCGTTCTGCCATGACCAGGGCCACGGTGGCCAGGTAGAGCCGGGCCTCTGTGCTGCTCTGCTGCTCGGCACCACCTCTGGCCGCTGGGGGCCAGCATATGTCAGGTCGCCCAGGTCGGCCACCCACAGAAGGGCCACAGGTGGCCCAAGCTTCCCACAGGCCCACTGCAGGTCACAGTCATGCAACCAGGGGTTTTTGGCCGGCAGCAGCCGTGTGCCCGCCATCCAGATGTCCGCTGTCACCTTGAAACCAAAGTGCTACAGCCAGTTGCCTGTAAGAGAGGGGACGCTCAGCGTGAACAAGGCCGCAAAGGCCTCAGCCTCTAGCTCACTGATGTTATGCCCAGCTAGAGAGAGGCCTTCCAGGCCCGATGTGGGGGCCAGGCCCCATATAGCAGTTCCCAGCAAGCAAGAGTCAGTGTAGACAGAAGAGGCCACCGAGCTTGGCTGTGCCTAGCTTGGTCAGCCTGTTTTGACTCAGGTCCAACTGCTCCAGGTTTCCCAGGCCCCACAGGCTGCAGGGATCTGGGTGACAGGCAGGTTGTGAGAGCGCCCCAGGCGGAGTACAAAGCCCAGGGTGGCAAAGAAGTCCAGGGACAGGCAGGCCAGCAGGTTGTGGCCGAGGTGCAGCCACTCCAGGAAACCCAGGCACCCCAGGGGCTCCACCAGCGAGATCCCACGGGACACCATGAGAAAGCAGCAGCACCCAGTCACCACAGGCCCTGACAGGCGGCTCGGATTATCTGGCTCAGCTGTAAGAGCCACTCTGCCAGGGAGCCTGGGGGGGAGGCTGAGACAGTAGAGCCCCCCTCTCCCCCGCGACAGTCCACAACACTGCCCGCGGTGGACAGGTGCGTGGTGCTTGGTGCACTGCCACCGGATTCCCAAGTCAGGCCAATGCCACCACTGTGGTCATGGCCACTGTGAGGAAGGAGTGGCCACCCCAGCCCCATCCTTGCCACAGGAAGCCTGCATTGGGAACTCATGGATGCATCGACCTTTGTGCCTCACTCGTCCACCCAGCACTCTGGGGAAGCACGGGCATGCTAGGGGAAGAGAAAACTAAAGACACCATTCAGGGCTCTCACCATTTGCCATGTCCCCCAACATGGTCTGAAGGATACCTCCATCTCCCACAAATTTACCTACTACCGAGGCTTCTGGAAAGAGCCATCACAGCCCAAGACCCCAGCATCCTGATCCCCCACCCCAGCCACTTCTCATTCCCTGATTCCTACCAGGATGACAAGAAATCAGGGAAGATGGCCTTTATAGTCCCAGGCACCCCATCTTTACTCCCACTCCATACCCACCCTCACTTATTTCCCACACAGCCCAGGAGCAGCTCTGCCTTCTCCCACCCCTAAACATTCCCTTGGTCACTCAACCAGCTAACATTTGCAGAGTCACTGTGGACACAAGCTTGCAGAGAGCCTGGTCTAATGGGACCACTGAAGTCAGGGTCTCAGGCCAGGGAAGTTCAACACACTTACCTGTGTTCCCGGCAACACCACCTGTCGAGTGCAGCCCCAGCCCAGGAATGACAGTGGAGAGAATCCCAGCTCTAGTCACTGCCCTCCTGGCAGAAGACCAGCCCCAAGCAGGTAAGAGTTGAGCTCTCAGGGTTGCCACAGCGCTGAGGGAGAACTAGGGGGGGGGGGGCGGGGGGGGGGGAGGGCAGGTTGAGGAAACCTCCAAGGCCTTGTGGCCTTATATCCAGGGGAACAGGACCCTGCCCTGCTTTCCCAAGAACACCACTCCCCACCCCACCATTCCCCCCATAGCCTTCTCACCCTGCTTTTCTCTCTCATCCGGATGACAGCTTGAGGAACCTTGGAGACCTCAAGTCACCACACCACATGTCCACAAGTCAGGAAGGAGCCAGGCATTCCCTCTCATTCTACACTGCCTGCCTAAGATGTCTGCCACCATCCGTAATCCACCTAGGTCTTGTCCAGACACAAAGGAAGGAGATGCTCTCGCTTGCTCTCACTAGGCCAGAGGTCAAAACAGCCTGTTCTGGTCTTCGGGGAGTGTCCAGCATGTTCTGGTCTTCGAGGAGTGTCCAGCATCACCTTCTGAGATAGAGAGGGATCTGGGGCCAGGTGGCCGGGACCCAGCCCTTCTGCCCTGTCCTAGGCAGCCAAACAAGTTACACTCTAGGTTTCCTTGTGTGCTCACTAGCCCCACCCAGCAAACTCTTAAGAGAATCGTAATGGCCATATGGAAGAGATGGTTACCAAGGGCCTGGCATCTCATTAAAGGCTTCATTTAATCCTCAACTGAGACATTCATTTTCCTTTACGAAGGAAACTAATGCCTGGCAAGGATATATTTGAGTTGCCAAGTCATAGTGCTAATTAGTGGCAGGGGTGAAAGCTGACACAACATAGAGCTGTCTGACATGCTCCTGACACTAAACCACAGCATCCCACAGACTGGGCCAATGTGCCGCAGGCCGGCCAAACACCCCTCAAAGAAGTTGAGGTCTGCAAGTGAATAACACAGACTATCTCCAGAATAGGAAGAAGAGTTGACCCACCATCAGCTTAGGGTATGAATCTGACACATTGGTTGATCAGATTTGAGCCCCTTTGAGCTAATCCAAGTGATCTGGCTCAAAGAAATTAGGGCGAAAAATTTGAAAACTGTCAATAATATTTGAGGGGCACCTGGCTGGCTCAGTTGGTAGAGCGTGCAACTCATGATCTCAGGGTTGTGAGTTTGAGGCCCATATTTGGTGTGGAGATTAATTCAATCCTTTTTAAAAATTAAAAGGGGATTCTGTGTGTGTCACCCTCACGCACTTCCCTGCTTGTGCATGCTCTCTCTCTCAATATAATAAACATAAAAATATTATCATAAGAATGCCTGGGTGCCTCAGGCAGTTAAACATCTGACTTCAACTCAGGTCATGGTCTTGCGGTCTGTGAGTTTGGGCCCCGCGTCGGGCTCTGTGCTGACAGCTCGGAGCCTGGAGCCTGCTTCAGATTCTGTGTCTCCCTCTCTCTGCCCCTCCCCCACTCATGCTTTGTCTCTTTCTCTCTCAAAAATAAACATTTAAAAAAAATTTTTTAATTCTAATAATCGAGAAAATATTACAAACAGTTGCCAGAGACTTGAGCTCAGGAAAAGTTCCAATTTTCACGAGTCAAACAAGTGTCAACAATAATTAACAAAATTCAGAGCATATTGTGACCTAAACATGCTGACACTAGGTGCCCACATGGGCGCACCAAAAGTAAGTTCCACTCAGACAACTTTAATTCCTTTTTTGATAGGGTTAACCGGATGACTCTCACAGACAAACATCTGGATCTTATTAAAGTCTCTCATCATATCCCTCGGGATAATGAAAACACAGAAGACAGTGATACAAATTGGAACTAATAGGACACTGGGATGGTTTTTTAAAAGCTCTTAATAGGTTGGAAGAATTGGCTAAAAAAAAAAAGCCATTTCATGGGAGAAGACAAGGCAGCTCCCAGTCACATCTGTATGCCCCTTACCCAGGGGCGGGGAGGAAAAGGAAACATCCTGAAGAGCAAGCACAAGCACACAGGTGACCTGAGCTCTAGCCACAGTTCTAGAAATGAGCTGCTGCTTAGGGCAAAAAGAAACACCATGTATTGCTTCTCAAAGCAATGAGCTCCCCCATCAATGAAAAGTGTTCAAGTAGAAGGGTACCTGGCAGGTTCAGTCAGTTGAGCATCCGACTCTCGATTTTGGCTGAGGTCATGATCTCACAGTTTGTGAGCTCGAGCCCTGCGTCAGGCTCTACGCTAACAGTGTGGAGCCTTCCTGGGATTCTCCCTCCCTCTCCCTCTCTCTCTCCCTCCCTGCCCCTTCCCACTTGTGTGCACACATCTCTCAAAATAAATTTTAAAAAACACTTTTTAAAAAAAGTGTTCAAATAGAGACAGTCTGTCAAGGATGCTATAGAAAAGATACTTAAACTGGAAGGACTATTCCATACGAACTCTCACATCTCTGGAGTCTCTAAGTGCTGAGCGTCTGCTGCTGCCTGGGCCACCCCTGGCACTGGAGACATTCTCTGTTTGCACAATATTCACATACATCCTTCCTAGAGCCAGGACATGAGGATGACTGCAGGACGTTTCAGGAAGGCTAATCTGAACAAAAACCAAAGTGTATGTGATGACAGCCTCCATGTGGAGGGGTGAAGCGTCCATTAGTATAACCACTCCCCTGCAGGTATCTTCAGCAGAACTCCCTTCTCCCTCCACAGTACGGACCTGATGAACACCTTTGGTTGTAACTATCCACCTTCTGTGTCTGCACCTAAGGCACTTGACATGACGAACATGAAGTCACACAATGGGCATCTGGTTACACCCTAAATGTACAGAGTGCAGGCCTGAGCAACTGTGGCATGGCCCGTGTGTGTTTACTGAACCACTGGACGGGTACTCCTTCACCCTCACCTCCCCGCCAAATCTACGAAGTCACCAGCAACTGTACCATCTCCTTCTTCCTTCTTTTTCATGGTGGAAGAAGGGCCCCCTCCTATCAGAGACCAAAACATCTTCTGTGGCCATGGTTCTCACCTCCCATCTTCGTGGAGTTCACAGTAAGGTAATAACTCCTGAACACCTAGTTCCAGCCCAGTCCTCCCCACGGAACAGGCTTGTCATTCAGCCCCCCACCTGCCGGCTATCCTTCAGCCTTTCGGGGACAAGAATGGCAAAATAAGACTTGATTTTTCCACAAACCTCTTCCTCTCTCCCACTGCTCATCATCCACACAGAAGCCACTCTCTGTTCCTCTGTCCCTCACCACCTTGGACCCAAACCATATCCATCAGTGACCCCTGTCAGTCGTGAAGTCATCTGTCACCACCAGCCACCACCATGTCCTACCTAGGTTTCTGCAACGGGCTCTTACTGCAGCGGTCATTCTGCCTCCTCCTTTGCCACTTGACCTCAGACTAACGCCCTCGACAGCCTAAAGCCCTCTAACAGCTCCCCACTGTGCCAAGGACAGACTCCAGCACCCACAACGGCAACCAGGCCCTGCATGATCGAGTTCCTGCCACTTCCTCCTCCTTGCTCACTGGGCATTAGCCAACCTATCTTCTAGCATTTCCTAAACACCCCAAGTTCTTATCATCCTCAACATAGCACTTGCTGCCCCCTCTTTCCAAGTACTCTTGGCTGGCACCTTGTTCAGATTTCTGCTTAAATGACAGCTCAGAGACCACCGCAGAGCAGTACACGTACACCCCTATACTAAGCATGAGCAGCTGCTCGAAACTAGGATAGAGACCAGAATAAAGGGGCCAGATTAGAAAAAGTAGGGACCAGCCACTACTTGTAGTCCTCCACTAAAACTAACTGCTGGAAGGGTACCTGGGTGGCTCAGTAGGTTGAGTGTCTGACCTCTGGTTTCGGCTCAGGTCATGGTCCCAGGGTGGTGGGATCAAGCCCCACATTGGGCTCCAGGCTGAGCACAGAACCTGCTTAAGATTCTCTCCCTCTCTCCCTCTCCACAAATGGCATTTGTTTGTGCTCACTCTAAAATAAAAAAATAAATTAAAAAAAAATTAGGGGCACCTGGGTGGCTCAGCCAGTTAAGCAACCAACTCTTAATTTTGGCCCAGGTCATGATGTCATGGTTTGTGAGATCAAGCCCTGTGTCAGGTTCTGTGCTCACAGTGTGGAGCCTGCTTAAGATTCTCTCTCTTCCTCTCTGCCCCTCCCGCACTTGGTTGCTCTCAAAATAAATAAACTTAAAGAAAAAAAACAAAACAAAACTGTTGAAGTCAGCATCAGGTGGGTTAGTTGAGAGAATGGAAAGAGCAGTTGAGAGAGAGGTCACTAGAAATATGCTTCCCCCTCACCGCACTCTGCCAGTTTAGGAAGAAGAGATTTAGTTCCACTTTAGCCTTTTCAGCAAAATTGAACGTTACAGGAAAATGGGACAGGAAGGCCACGACCCGACCAGGGTTGGTCCCAGCTGCCAAAGTTTGCTCTCAAGAAACCCGAGGCACAGCCCTGCTGCTCCCACTTCGCTCCCTGTCTCCCATGTCCTTTACTGGTCCCTTGTCCTCTCGCCAAGCTTGACTTCAGGCTTTCCTCAAATCCCAGCCAGTCCTGGGTCACTTTCCATCTTGACTCAGGCAACTCATCTAGTTACTGAGCTGGTCACTTTCAAATGTCTACCTTCAGTCATACAACGGCCGGGCGCTGGGGAATAATACGGAAACGAGTTCATCACTGGCCTTGGAGCCTCAAAATTCCCCACTAGACGACTCCAGAGAAACTTCCAACAAGTAACCACAATGCAAGGCATACATGCCATATGACGTGAGTGATACAAAACAATTCTAGGAATTCCTTTCCATGAATTGAAGAGTCAAGGATGACTTCACAGGTGCCTTTGAAGCAAAGGCCTTGTAGGATAAGACGGACAAGATAAAATAAGATAGGCTGGGAGTAATCGGAGAGATCACCTACCCCATGCCTCTCCTACAGAATAATTCTAAGATGCTAAGATTATAGAGTGAGGCAACCAGTTAGCAAGTTTCTTCAGACATCGTAAAGCACACTGCACTGTACAAGGGGCAGGGGAAAAAAGTGCCTTAGAATCTGGAGGGTATGAAAGATGTTTACAATGGGAGGGGCTGGAGAGAAAACGCTGGCCTCATCTTCGAGTTTCCATATAATGAGCCACGTAAGGCTTGTAGAATATCAAAGAACGAACTTGTTCTGAAGCTTTATTACCCAGCAGCAGTCTGGGTAATACCACTAGGTTAAGACCAGTGGATGGCAACGCACAGCACCCTTTCTTCACCTGTTAGTAATTGGGTGATATTATGCCAAACCCCTTCAGTTCAGGCAGTACATGCTAAGGATGTCAAGTTTCTCAAAGGGGAATTCTCTGGCATGAGCAGACTCCAGCCTTGATGAGAAAGTAAATCCATCACTCAGACAATGACCAATCCCGGCTCCCAAACTTGCTGCTGCTGCTCTTCCTGTAGCTCACCCTGTGGCAGTGCAGGTCCTGGCCTTACACATTCTTACCACACTGTTCTCAGTATCAACGGGACAGTCGAGTCTATCCCGGCATGGGATTGAAAGCTCTCTACGTCTTTTCCTAACTAGTATGTCTTGTGGAAGGACAGATTGCGACACACACATTCTTAGCTTCAAAAACGTCAAGGAGCCTTTCCCCTGAATCACTGGCTCTGGGCTGAAGCCCCTGACCTAACACTGAAGTGCCTGAGCAATTTTCAAAGCAGCCAAGAAGCTGCTCAGACTCTTTTCAGCACACTCAGGATCAACTCACCATGGGAAGGATCCTTATGCCCTACGGACAGTTCTACGCAGCAGTAAACTCAAAGGCATGTGGCAGTGGGAGGTCATCAGGTGCCGGGGTGGGGAGGTCTGTGTGCACTGAGGCCGCTGGGGAGGGGAGAATGCCGCAAAGCCAAGGAGACATTGCACAACTACCTGTACGTGTGTCATCAGGGACGCGAGCCCGCCGCACCATACTCTTCCACAGGGCAGCGTGCCTCCAATCTAGTGGGCAAACTCATGCACGTCCCGTCCTACACCTGGCAAACAAGGGAGCGGTGCACATGCCATCAGTTTGGAAAGTCACAGAGCAGCAGGAGGCGTACACGAGTGGATAAAAGCCAGGGGTTCGGTTCCAGTTCCCCCACCGCAGGCAGCTGTCATTTAACTTAGCCCCGTGGAAGCCACTCTCCTTTTGTAAAAGGAAGGCTTTTCAAACTATAGTCAAAGGAATTCCCCGGGACTCTGGGGCAGAGAGAAAGATCTGTGAGAGACGGAAGGCAGAGATCCCTCTCCCCATTTACCTGTTTTACGTATTAGCCTCACTTAAAACGCCATCTAATGCAAGATTTCTAGGGGCACCTGGGTGGCTCAGTAGGTAAAGTGTCTGAAATCTTGATCTTGGATTAGATCATGATCTCACGGTTTGTGAGTTCAAGCCCCATGTCGGGCTCTGTGCTGGCAATGCAGAGGCTGCTTGAGATTCTCTATCCCTCTCCCTCTGCCCCTCCCTGTTCACTCTCAAAATAAACAAACTTAAAAAAAAAATTTTAATTGACAATAAACTATTTGAAAAAAAAATTTTTTTTAAGACCAGCTTATAACAAAGCTGGAGCCTCTGACAATCACCTAATCCAATCTCATCCCCAGACTCAACCATCCCAGCACCCAGCTAACATTTATACCAACATTTACAGAGCACCTTCTAGGTATCAAGCATTTTAACTTTCACACCAATCCTAGGAAATGGGTAGGAGTTCTATGTTTACAGTTGGAGAAGCTAAGGCTCAGACTCGTGAAATGACTTACCCACGGTCTCAAAGTGAAGAAGGGGAGGTGTGGGGATTTGAGCCCAACTATTCAGGCCACCAAAGCCCTTGTTCTTTCTTCTTTACCTCACTGCCTTTCACACCACCTTAATCCCACCTCTTGAAGTGCTTCAAGTTGCTCCCCACCTTCCCCCCCATCACTTCATAAGCCAAAACTGAAGAGTCAAAAGTGCTTCCCACCAGAAACCGTTGCTACCTACTATCTCCCACTCACAGGCTTAGAGACTAAAGAGACTAAACGGGAGGAAGTGACGGTGTGAGACACGGGGCCGCACTTCCTCCCAGCCGTCTAGTTTCCATGATTCACACTCACTACTTTAATGGCATCTCTTAGCATTTCTAGAGCTTACAAGGTCCCTCTCGTTTCTCCCTTTTACCTTCTCCTGAAAGCTTGTACTTCCGTGCAAACTCAATTGAAGGCCTGGTACTTTAAATCTAGTTCTGACCAGGGACGCCTGGGTGGCTCAGTTGATTAAGCATCTGACTTCGGCTCAGGTCATGATCTCATGGCTGGTGAGTCCGAGCCACGCGTGGGGCTCTGTGCTGACAGCTCCGAGCCTGGAGCCTGCTTCGGATTCTGTATCCTCCTCTCCTCTGCTCCTCCCCCACTCACGTTCTGTCTCTCTCTCTCTCTCAAAAATAAACAAAAAAATAATAATAGAGCCCTGGCCAAAGGCAAGTGGGTATGAAAGTACACCCATCAGTCTTCTCTGGTTTTTCTTCCAAACAGCCCGTAACAAACAGCCTTGCATACGTGCCCACCCCTCTATGCCCCTGGCCCACTCACACACACACCTCCCAACCCAGGATCCCCTTCTTATATACTTTGCACGATCTCACTGGGAGAGCTCCAGGAGGTGGAAGGAGAGAGAATAAAGAGTAGGAAATAGAGAATCTAAAGGGAAAGATCACCAAACATGTACTCCCCCCTCACGCCCCTTTCCCCTGGGGTCTCTAAAGCACGTACAAACCTGAGACATGAGTGATGGTTAAAAAAATTTGGGTTTTATTGTTTTTGCTAAACAATACTAAAAAAAAAATTTCATTTTGAAGGCAGGGCTTGAATTATTTAATTTTGATCCATTTATTTAATTAAAAAAAAAAAGGAAGGGGAAAGAGATCATGGCCAAAAAGATAGTAGTTACCCCCCACCCCACCCCCAAAGCTCTAGCCAGTCACATGAGCGTCACCCATGTCCCACTCGGTGCCTGACGTTCAGCTGGCAGCCTGCTCTGCCCCACTGGACTGCCCTGAAGGCACGGGGCAACAGGTGCCAGTTTTAGCACTCAGCAGGTTAGTCAAACCAGACAAACTGGTGGGCTGAAGTCCAGAAATCCTCTCCAGGTTTTCCGCCCATCGGCTGAGCACATACAAACTATCGTAAGCTTGTAAAATTTCAGGGGTGTGGGGAAGGGCATAAAAGCAGAAGGTTGGTGGGAGCAGAGAAACTACCGGTCACCCAAGCTTTCTCCTGGGCTAGTGGCTCTGGATACAGACTTCGAGAGACTGGGAGAGGTGGGCTCCAGGTTTCTTAGGAAGAAAATCATCGTTCGAGGAGGAGCTGAGACGTGCCATGCAAAATAGTTCTTCCTGCAGAGGGCACAGGAGACAGGGCGGCCGACTCTCCCATCTAGGAGACAGGAGTGTGGTGAGGAAGTTCTTCTAGTACCATGAAGTAAGACAAAAGGCAGAGGGAGAATCCTGAGGTTTTGGCCAAATGTGAGACTGGTACACACACACAGTTAAAGACTAAAAAGCCATCAGGAACCCTCACAGCCGAATCCCACCTGCAAACACCGGCTCTAGAAAGTGCTGCAGAAGAGTCTTGCTGTGAACCAAGTCAAGTTAGTTGCCTGGCTATAGGTGGTGGGGAGGGGAATACATTTTTATTTTCGAAGGGATGAGGTGGGAAGAGCGGCCATGATCTAGTAAAAAGAGACCTGCAAGAAGCAGAAAATATTTAGAGAACATTTTAATATATATTTTCATATATATATTTAAAGTTAAGAAAAATAAAACTAATTCAAGCCATGCCCTGTGCAAAAAAAGAAAAAAAAAAAAAAAGAAAAAGAAAAAAAAAGACAAATTTAAAGTGAGACCTCTGTCTGCTGCTCTAGTCTCGACTTCAGTGTCACAGTCAACTTGTTACTTTTATTTTGGAAGAGAAGATGTAAAAGTTTCTTTCAATCACTCAGAAGGCAAGTGAAGCCACTTATAAAAACAGAATGGCAGGGACAGACTAGGAAAGTCAAAGGTGAAAGGGCAGAGCAGGAAAGGAATTTTCAAAAATAAAATTAACAAGGTGACTGTTCCAAGAAGGGGACTGTGAAAAGGACATGGTGGACCGAAGTCTGTTAGTCAAGTAATGATTCAACTTTTAAATTATTCTCTTGTTCTTTTTTGTTGGGTGTTTTGTTTGTTCAAGTCTAAGATTTGGAAATGCTGACCCTTTGTTAACAAGAGCCAACAGGAAATATAGGATCCCTTCCCTCCCCCGGCCTGCCTCCGCCGAAGCCACCACCATCGCCTCGCTGGCTGGATGCTGGAAGAGCCCTCCGTGTGTATGGACTCAGGATGACAGGGCAGCCTCCTTCTGTGGTTGCTGGGCTTGTGAACGCTGCAGTATCTTTTGGCTTTCCACGTCTCTAAAATGTTTTTCAACCTGAAAGAGACCAGTTCAGCCTAGGTCAGAACAGGAGATGGGCAACAAGGCCTCCCCCACAGTTCACTCCAGGTCTCCACAGCCTCACGGACTACTCAGGCATCTCTGCCCTTGCTGTCTGCTGGCCTTCCCGGCCAAAGGTAGGCAGAGGCCTCTTGTTTCAACCACATTCGCTGCAGCTTTGGCTAAGACCATCTAAAAGAAAGTGAGTCTAGAAGCTAAAACACAGTATAAACAGAGATTATGATGACCCAAACTCCTTTGCCCCTCTTCGAATAAGTGCAGAATGAAAAGCTGATAGGGAATTAACAGTCTTGGACTTTTTATATCTACGATGTTGCTCTCTTAATGCTCAGAGTGGTTTTGTGTGTATGTGTGTGTGTGTGTGTGGTTTTTTTTCCTCCCAAATGCTGCAACGCAAAGTAGACAACCATGTGACATATGCAGGGTCAGAGACCCAACAGCAACTGAGTTACACCAACCGGCCCCTCCTGAGAAGAAACCAGCCTGGGATGAGAGGAACTGCTCAAGCGCGATACCATGGAATGGCCTGGCTAATTCCAAAAAGCCACACCACAGAGGACGTGGGGCTAGCCACTTGCTTTACGGCACAATGTCCAGTGGGTTACATCCCCACAGAAGCAGCCAGACTGTAAGCTCCAGGGCACTGCGGTGCAGGGGACAGGTGGCGGCAGGGCTGCTCTCAGGCTGGTGGGTTGGAGGCAGGGACTGCGGCACAATGTCCTATCCTGATGCTGGGGAGGGTAGAAGGTCAAGGAATCACCCTCTCTCTAAAGGTCCGTGGCTCCTTTACTTACTATTTTGCGTACATGGCTCAGTGCACTCCCCTCTTTGCCTTTACAGTTTTCCACTTGATATGGGGGTGTAATAACAACTTCTTCCATGACTACGATGTTTTTTTCTTGCCATTTACAGTCTTTAATGCTGGAAGGAGAAGAGAGCAGGTGAAAGTTGCCTCTTGTGGCATCCCACACCTCCTGCCTGAATAAATAACTCCAGAAAACTGACCCCAAGTTCTCTGCTCACAACTCCACCAACAACTAGATGCCAGCAGCCTATAGGGAAGAGTAGCCAAGACACACTTCCTGGGCACCAGTGGCTAGAAAAAGCAATGCCCTGGTGTGTGTTTATTCTGAGGAGGGCCCAGGAAAGGCACTCTGAAGCATCGGGGACCGAAAACCACAGAAAACTTGGTGGCGGCCTCAGAAATCCAAATCAAATTGAATACAGAGCTAGGCTCGGGCCACTAGATGCAGGTTAAGTAGCAGCCTAGGGCAGGGGTTGGCAAACTTTTTCTATGAAGACTCAGACAGCAAATATTTTAGGCTTTGAGGGCTATACGACCTCTGTCACAACTACTGAACTCCGCCGCTGTGCTACAAAAGCAGCCACGGATACCACAGAAACAAAGGAGCACATCTGCCCGCTGGCTGGAGTCTGCCAACCTTTGGCCTAGGGAGAAATGGCACCTTTAGAAAGACAGGAAAAGAAATTCCCCGTCTCACTATGATCTGCACTCTGCCACCCACCTCTCAAAATAGTAACTGCTCCTCAAACTGGCCCCTCTCAATTATCAGACAGCTGGGCCCTGGCCAGACTGGGAAAACCCATTCCAGTTCACACTTGGGGAAACACAGGGCAGCTGATATCCCTAAGAGTTCCTTCACATACCTGTAAATGTTCAGACACTCATACCATGGCCTCGAACAGCTCTGATGCCAGCTGCCATCTGTGCACCAGACCCAGGTGGTTAAATAGGGTAACAGAAGGCAGCAGGGGGGAGGGGGAGTGTCAAATGTTTCAGTGTTTCGGCAGCTAGGGACGCTAGTGGAGAGTCAAATGATTTCTGCTGTGACAAAATGTCTTTTAGGAGGTGGTAATAAGGTGGCCTTCTGCTCTCCCTAACTCCATATGATCGTCCCAGCATACAATTAGAAAGAGAGAGAGACTTGTAACTCCCTTAATAAAACCGCATCAGCTTCTGGAGGAAGGTACAATAAGATCAAAATAATGAAAAAGAAGCCACATGTTCTAAATTATGGACTACCAGTTCTGAAAGAAACTGAGGATAATCTCATCCCGAACCAACTTTTACACATGAAGAAACCGAAGCCCAAAGAAGACAACCTGTCCATGATCACACCATTCTTCGTCACAGGAGGGCAACAGACACCCACATCCCTGAACACCAAGGTGCTACCAACACACTACCCAGCACCTCTACTGACTTTCAGGAACACGGCTACCCCAAAGCTGGCCACCACACAGCACAGCCAGGCAGCACTGCCCCCGGGGACAAGAGACCCCTATGCTCCCCCAACTCACGTCTTGTGTATGGTCTGGAAGAGCTGCTGGCCCTCTAGGGAAACACCAGCGCTGATTGCATAGGCCTGGCTCAGCTTCTCCTCCTTCTCTGTCCGTGCTTTGCTGGCAAGCTAGGGTGGGGGAGAGGAAAGAGACTCAGAAAAGCATTCACTTTCATTCTTCCCAACAGTCAGGACCTGTCGAGGAAAGGAGGCTGGAAAAGACTGGTTTGGTAGATTCACTTCTCTCAGAGTTCAAAAGCAAAACATACACATACACAATATGCCCGAGGGGTTACTGCCACTGCCGCAGACATTCCTTCCATCCAGTACTTACTGAGCGCCTACCACATACCAGACATGCCCTGTGCTGAACCAGAGTACAGCACTGATGCCGGGACTGGACACAGACTACAAACAGAAACATACACAAAATAACTACAGATAGTGCCAAGGAGCCAGGAAGAAAATAAAGCGGGGCAACAGGGCAACATTACACAGCAGGACTGGGAAGTGACCATCAGATAAAAGGTAATGCACACATTTCCATGAAAGGAGAAAATTGAGAAGTTTTATCAGCCTCTGCTAGAGTCTCAGTTTTAGAAATTAATGTCTACAACACCTTCACAGACCAGAATATGCGGTTCCAAAGACTATCTTTCTGGAACCACTATCTGTGCTCACATGGGGAGCCAAGACCCAAGTAAACCTAACCCAGTACTGTCCACCTTCAACTTGAGCTACCATCACCCTGCTCTTTAGAAAAAAGGAATGGTCTACATTCTACCTTATGTCTGTTCTTTAACTGCCCTCTAGTGGAATGCTCCCAAACTGATCAAAAGAAATTCTAATTAAATCTACTACAGTAGTCGCCCCCAACCCCCACCCCACCCTTATCCAGGGTCAACCTTGGTCTGGAAGCAGATGATCCTCCTGCAGACATATCATCAGGTCAACAGTAAGGTAACGCTACATCACAGCTCCTAAGTCACTCACCTCACTTCATCTCCTCACGTAGGTATTTTATCACCTCACCTCATCACAACGAGGTATTTAGAAAGAGCCATATTCACATAACTGTTAAGACAGCATACGGTTACAATTTTTCTGTTTTATAAATAGTGATTGTTGTTCATCTTTACTGTGCCTAATTATAAATAAAACTTTATCATAGGTATGCATGTACAGGAAAAAAACCAGCAGATCTAGGAATCAGTACTATCCAAGGTTTCAGGCATCCTCCAGGGTCTTGGGATGCACACCTGCAGGTAAGGGGGGACCACCGTAGTCTACTAAAATCTAGTAAGTCCTTCCCCGAAGGGGTGGGTTGAGATGGCAACCCCTACTGCCCCTCTAATAAATACACTTCTAGTCCCCACTCTACACTACTGGTTGCTAGAGACTCCAGAAGTACAAATCTGCTAGCATGTAAGATAAAACAAATATGCTGAACAAGACAGTTAAAATGAAAGGTAGATAATGCATCTGAGAATCAAACATGATTTAGAGATTTTCAGAACCATGAACAGCTTAGTATACTGGTGCTGCAGCTCGAGAGACAGACAGACAGACACATACATACACACGTGAGCACACATAATTTGTCCCCACATACCAACTCCTTAAAACCGAGATCATATCTCTTGAACACTCCCAAAGTACCTAGACATTTGGAATTCTTAAACATCTATATTCTGCCTAATAGTGACCCTTCAAACCACAGACCAAATATAGTTCTATAGGCAAAGTGTCTAATTTTGTCCATTTGCTTGTTAGCAAAACGGAGCACTTTATTAAGGTGTGGGTTTAACTATGAAGAAGAGAAAAAGGAGACCTTCAACTGTATATAGGGAGCCCTGCCTTTGAGTTTCAAAGATCTGGGGGGGGGGTAGCACCGAAGAGGGAGAGGTCACCCGCAAAGTCATTTCAGTCTCCTTAGGGCAAAGAAGGAAGAAAAGCCCAAACTGCAGGATCTGAAGCCGGAGGTCCTTTCTCACATGGTTCCCCAGTACATGGAGACAGACACATAAAGCAGCAGTAAATAAATAATCTTTCAAGCCTGGTTGTGCCAATCTGGCCCCACCAGGCCAGAAGTCCGCAGAGAAATAATGCACAGGGCTGACAGTATTCCCTGAAGCCTGGGCAATCCCACTGCAGCAAGAGAGCACTTGATCTCTCTGCAAAAAGAGCTGCTGCTGGTGTGTTTTAAGCAGCAACAAGCAAACTTCATCATCAAGAAAATCCTCATAACAAGGAGTCTTCCTGAGTCTCACTTTTCAAACCCTGTACAAATCTGAAGTCTCCAAAGAAAGAAGGAAAAACCAGGGGCAACAAAAGCTCTCCTGGCTTAACCGCACTCCTACAGGGCCCCAGGGAAGCACAAGTGACCAGGCAGATATTTATGCTACCCCATAAACAAGCAGGAGGGTCTCACAGTTTGAGGTTTTTTTAAATAACATTTATCCCTGAAAACCAAAAACATCTCCCAGCGTTAGGTCTAACAAAGCCGGTTCTATAAAGCTTGTGTTGACCAGACAATATGGATGCCCAAAGCAAAATATCCTTGGCATCTACCTAGTAGATTAAAAACCTGATTATCACCCATTCAGTGAGAGGAACTGGCTCAGGGAAACCAGGCACCTATGCAGAATGTTTAAGAATGGAATGGACAAATTAAGCTAGAAGAGAAGGAAAAAAGGCTGGGAGCCACTTCTGAATAGTTGCCAGAGGCATGAAATACATATAAATCTTGGCCAGAAGCGATTCGTTTGGACAGCCTGAGTTAACAGCAACACAATGACTAGAGAACAATGATTTCAAAATACACTTCTAGCCCCCAAAGATACCTCTTCTAAAGGCTCTGCAAGCAAAGGAGAATAAACTAGGTAATTCTTCATTTCAAGTCACAGTGCAAACAGATCCCAAGTGCCAAATGATATAAAAAACCCTGGAGAAGTCAACAGAAATCAGAGTAAGCTGTTATTTCAATTTGCCCTAATATCCTCAACTACTCTACCTGGACCTGCAATTGTGCTTCGGGGGGCCTGGATGCACTGCAAACCGTGAAACCTCCAGCTGTCAGTGCATGAACTGTATTTTCAGGGCAACCTGAACGTTTAAACCTGACATTCAGGGGCGCCTGTGTGGCTCAGTTGGTTAAGCATCGGCTTTGGCTCAGGTCATGATCTCGTGGTTTGGGTTTGAGCCCCGCATCAGGCTCTGTGCTGACAGCTAGCTCAGAGCCTTGGAGCTTGTTTCAGATTCTGTGTCTCCCTCTCTCTCTGCCCCTTCTCTGCTCACGCTGTCTCTCTCTCAGAAATAAATAAAACATTAAAAAAAATTTTTTTAACCTGACATTCAGCTATACAGATATGCTTTCAGCAGGAACTTGTGCAAATGGGGTAAATTTCTCCTACAGAGGATCCTATCAATTAGGTACAAGGAAGGTTACCCTCACAAAAGGAATCTAGAAGTCTTCCTTCTCTCAAAATTGGAGTTGCGAAGGGAAGATCACCTTGCTTGTTTTAGGCAGCTTCTTGAAAACTCATGAAAAATGAAGACAGGCCTCCCTTTGAGGAGCAAATAACTATCACTCTACCCTCAAGTTAGCAGTTATACAGATGTAAATTCCTCCACATCACATTTTTGTAAACTAATGCATATGTATAAACCATCCAGTTTTTCCAAGAGAGTAAGTTTACAGTTTTTGTCACACCACGAGAGGGAACCAATAAGAGCCGCCCTCAGGAGAGGTGTAGACTGTGCTTTCTAAGCTTGGGAGGGTTATTGGGATTGTGATTTTAATTCAATGACCATCACCACACTACATCTATTTTCAATGCAAACATGCTAGCTGCTGGCCTCTCCTCCAATCAAATCTGAAGCACTAACTGGGTAGAATCTCAAAGAATACTTAAGGCACCACTTCACAGACACTGGGTTCCGGCAAACTGAGAAGCATGTGTTACTAACGCGCACGTGGCTTACTTGGAAGGCCTGCACAGGACAAGCGGTGCTAACCTGCCTCTCCTTTTATTCTGTATGGGACCCGGTGAAAAAGTGACTCCCGGTCTACTAACCAGCACTTCCTCCTGTAGCCATTTTATATATAACAACCTGACGCGGGCTATAGGGAAGTCCAGGAACCCTGTACCGGAGCGCATCGATATGAAAGGCGTCCAGTCATGCCTTCTGTTAGGTAGCCCTTGAGTGAGTGAACAAAACGAACACCAATGACACATATCTCCTGCCACTCGGTGACAGGGGGAAAAGGAAGCAGCCACAACAACGAAATCCAAGCACGACGCACTTCATCTTGTTATTCGGTCACCAGCTGGGCCATCTCATTTCCACACACCCAGACGGGGAAGGCACAGGTGCCGTGGGGAACCCAGAGGGATTCCTACCGCAAGTATTTAACAGGCTGTGACAGCTGAGACAACAAGGGAAGCAGAGTCCAAAGAGGAACATGCTGGATGTGACCTACTGACTCCAACGAGCCACTCTCAGTCTGCCTCCGCTGTGTACACGGGCTTTCCAACCAGCTGCCCTCACAGAGAGGTTAGGAAGCACCGCAGCTGCTGCCCGCAAGGCCTGGCGGAGGCGGAGGGATGACAGACCGCAGCAGCCGAGAACAACTGTCATCGGGAGGGCCCGCGCTCCTTTCTGTGGTTTCAGTTCTGGGGTGCGCTCTTAGAAAGTCCTTCTTCCCAGCTAGCAATAAGCAGGCTCTCAAAAGTATTTCTTCCAACGATCAAGTCAATATCCCCAAGCCTTCCTGTTCCCTAGCTGAAAGCTCCTGTCTGCCGGTTTCAATAAAATACTATTCTTTACAACAGTAAAGAAGAACCATACTTCGCACGGCCAGGAACTCCAAAAATAAAGGACCCCACTTGCCACTGTGTCCTAGAATACATAATAATGAATCAAAACACTGAATCAAACAGGAACCGTAGAGCCCAAGAGGCCTGGTGGTGAATATTAATATTCTAAGAATCAACTTGTAGAGTGAGACTTTTTCTACCCTAAGCACCAAGCTACACACTTTATGTGTACTAAGCATTTAATCTGCACAACAAGCCTATGAAATAGGGAATTTCTCCTATTCATAGCTGTTAAGAAACTTGCCCAAG